AAACTTTCATTTCCTGTAAAATTACACATACTTGCTTAAATAATATGGCAATTATAGCTGTATTAAAGGTAATGTTTTAATGAGTTTAATTGAAATTTTCTGAATTCGCGTGAAATTTGGTACAAGAATATTTAGGAGTTATCAAGATTAACAATCTTATAAACGTTTTGTGGTAAAAGCTTAAAATATGTGTTTATTTTTCGTAGTAGAGAAAAATTAAATCTCGTTTACGTTGTTAGCTCTAAAGTGCATTCAACTCAAGAACGTTTGAAATAAAATAGAAGGAATTTTAAAATTATAATAATATTCCTAAGAATTTCTACACAGTAGAGAAAAATATAGTTATTTATATGATGAAGAGTTCTCCACATAAATGGAGTTGCGCGCGTGGCCAGGTGAAACTTTCCATCAGATGGACTATTATCATTACTCCCTGAAATAAACAGTTAACGGATAATACTATCTACGTTTGTAAACTTGTTATTTACGCTTTTTTTATTTACATTTCTTTTAAATGTCTCGATTTTCTATAGCTATTTACCTCTTTTCGACTAAATTAAATCATAATTATTGCATTTTAACTACACTGCTATTTGTATACATTTTAACCAAAATTTGCTTCCTTTTTGTGCGTAGTAAAAACGCGTATTACTTTGGTTGATATTACGAACATAGCTGTCCATATTACTTTAGTAGTGGAATTTGCTACAACTTCACCATATGCATTTTCTTAATATGGATTTTTCAATACAGTACTCAAAACAGAAATTTATGTATTGACGTCGTCAAACCGTCACATAAAACCTCTGATGCTTTGCAGCTTTTATGGCTTGCACCTGGTATATTTGGGAGCGAGGACTTTTCCTTTTTTAAAGCTTAACTAATAAGAAATATTATGTTATATTTATTTTCGATGCAATTACTTTTACAACAAGTTATACTGTAGTACCTGGGGACCGAGCTTTGCTCGGGAAATCATTAGTACCTATTTACTCTGAGAGAAATATTTGTTCAATGTCATCTATCAAAAACATAATTGTTTATCAGTCTGTTATAGTAGTAATATTGTAGTTGACTTTGTTTTTTAAGCAAAATTGATGATTCTCATGTAAATTAATATAGTAATTTATTCCATCTTTAAACAATAAAATATTGTGATTTATTTTTCAAAAAAATAAAAACATCCTAATTTGGCTACATTGTAGTTGAGTATAGACAACATGGCATGCTATAATATTGCAATTTGAGTTCTAAGGATTTCCACACAAGAACTGTAAGCATCTCAATAAATAGTTTTCTTAAACAAACAAAGAAAAATATCACAGTAGTTACAATTAATATTACAGACTGAGGCTGCATTTATTGTAAAAACATGAAAACTACAAATTGTTTATACGATTGTTTTTTATAGACTAAAACAAATAACATAACAAACACATAAGAATTCAAATTAGTCAGTTTTAAACCAATTTTAAACTATAAAAATGTAATGGTGATAAGCATTCAACTGTGGTAAAATAGGATATAATACAATTACATATTTTACCTCTGCTCTAGATTCTAATTTGACTATATTCTTCAGATTATCGACAATTAAGTCAACAAACTATTTAATCCAAACTAAATAATTTCAAGTAAGGTAAGCTAGTTATTATGGTACAAATTTAAATATTAATTACATAGACCAAAATGAACTAACATTTTCAATATTGTTCATCTGAATATTTCCATCCAAACAACGTTTTTAGTTAATTTTCTGTCTCTAGATGGCAAAACAACTTTTAAAGAGTTTCTTGTTCGTACTCTGGAGAAAGCTACATAGAGCATCCCATGCATGAATACGGGGTTGTTTAACACAACACCAACAGACTGAAAGGTTTGGCCTTGAGACTTATGGATGGTCATAGCAAAAGCTGGTCGAACTGGAAACTGATGTCTTTGCAGCGAACATCCGAGTTGACACTTGCTCGAATCAAGAGTGACTCTTGGAATGTGTACATCTCGACCAGAATGACTGCCAGTAATTATTTTAGCCTTAATAATGTTCGGACACAACTCCGTGACAATCAGTCTTGTGCCATTGCATAAACCCTCCGTCACGTCTAGGTTTCTGAGTAACATTATAACGACGTTGTTTTTTAGTCGGAGTTCATGAGGTGGTAAATCTGATATTTCAATTGAGTTTAAAAACTCAGTTGGGAATTTGAGAGCTCCATCAGGTTAATCTTTTACTGAATCAAAACTTTTATAAATTGTTTCTTGTCCAGGGATAATTTGGATGATCTCGTTATTGATATTATCAACATCTCTATTTAAAGGTGCAAGGATGGCTCTATCTCTCATAGCATTGTAATCTCTGTTGGCTAGGCAATCGCCATATATTTGTTCAACAATATTTCCATTTGAAATAATGTCATCGGGAATATTTATTTCACAGTCATTGTTGGTGGGCAAATCTCCATTTCCAAGTTGAAGGAGATATCCAGCAAATGCACTTTCATCGAGATTGACTCTCATGTTTTGATGAAGAGAGAAGAGCTTGAAAAACTTCCAAATACTGCAACGTTTTACAGAAAGGTCGATCAGCTCAGATCGATTTGCTCTAGGCTGGACTGGAAGGCATTGGCGGAAGTCTCCTCCTAGGATCATAGTTTTTCCTCCAAAAGGCAAGTTTCTGTTTCCTAAGCTTCGCAGGAGTCCGTCAATACAACTTAGGCCATATTTTGGTAGCATTGGTGCTTCGTCCATCGTAAATACGTCTACTTCTGCCAGTTCTTGGGCCTTCTGAGTGCCTGGCTGAATTGATGATTTAGAATCGCTAGTCAATGGAACTTTTAGACCAAAAGTCCTATGGGTAGTACGTCCTTCAGGTAGCAAGATCGATGCAATGCCGGTATATGCCATGCATTTTACATTAAGATTTTTTCCAAGAATTAGATGGTAGAGGGTATTGTACACGTATGTCTTCCCTGTACCTCCTGGTCCATCGAGGAAAAAACACTCATCGGGTCTTCTATTGCTTCCATAACAGCATCAACAAAGTCTTTTTGTTCGTTATTCAAATTGCTATATTGTCTGCGACCAATGGCTTCTAATTCGCTGACATTGTGGGTTTCTTCATTTCCCTCGTCTTGAAAATTCTGAATGTCATCCATACCATAGTTTTCCACCCAAAATTGGAAGTTTCGGCCTGAAATAAATAATTATTTTGAGTTCACTTTTTACAAAATCATAAGCATTAAAACATGTAGTATAATTTATTTTAGTCTAATGCTTTCTCTTATTTTAATTTGTTATAATATTCATTGCATATTTTTTATTTTTATTTTGCTTCACACTTATATTTAATAAAATTTGAACAATCATACACTCTAATTTTACAATTATCATAAATGACATTAAAAAATATAAACGTTTCACAATGTTAATAAAGTTTATGGTCAAGTAATCTACTAATGAGTCACAGTAACAAATGCTAAATATTTAATTTAATAATAAGTTAGCATTTTCAATTCTGTACATAATTAGTATGGGTTAGTTTCTCATATTTTAGAACTTATGTGAAGCCTAAGTCTAGTGCGCTTCCAATGTTAGAATTGAAATTTAAGCCATAGAATCAGTTGATCAAAAGTAATTGTATGTTATTGTTATTGATACTATGAGAAAGAATTACCTTCAGTAGCTTCAGTATTCAGCTTATGGGCAATAATACGGTAAGCCTTCATGAGTGTTGTGATCATTTACTGCATGACTTATATTAGAAGATTCATTACAATAGGGAATGTAGTGAAATTGCACGTGAAATAATAGTTAAGTTGAAATAAATTTAGCAGAAATCTACTACCCAATAAATATAAAAGGAGGTGTATAAGTTAAAGCTAATTAAAGTTTATTCCATCCTCTCATTAATTTAACTACCGCACTCGACATTGACAGAAATTGGTTTTTCAGTTATAGTATAATATGCTCAATGGTATAATCTGAATGTTAATTTCCTTTGCTCTGTATACACACATTGTTATTTCCTTTTGGTCTTTGTAAACATATGCTACAAATAGCATGGGCAAGCTGAGGTGCCCGTGGGTACAGAACGTCATGTTATGTCTTAAAATGTAAACAAAATGACAACAATGGCGGAATGTTTTCTCATAAGGCCCATGTTAAATTTTCAAAAGTCCCTGCACTCATATTATGGCGAAAATAGATTTTTCCTGGCTATACCACTGGTCTAGAACTTATTTTTGGCACAGAACTTAGTTATTTAGATTTTGTTTAGATTACTTAGATTTTGTTAGGGCCGATTCCCAGATCGAGTGGACAAGTATTCAAACTTTACTCGTATTATATATAGGATAGTAAGGACTGTATTAGATCATCTTTGATCATTATTTTGAAATGACTTTTAAAGACATTAAAATAATTGAATATTGATATGGTATTATGTATGATATGTTGAAGTAATTCACTAAAGATTGATATTTAACTTTGGTAGACCAATAGACAACATTCATTGACCATCGGCATGGCTAATCTACTCGCTGACAGTTTAAGAGAAAGATATTACCATTTAAAATAAAATATAAATAAATATATTATACATTTTGAAGGGGTATCCACTCAAAATAAACTTAATTTAAGTTTTGTAATAAGTAATATTTATAAGTTGATTATTACCTTCTGTAGCTTCAGTATTTAGCTTGTAAGCTATGATTCTATATGCTCTGTTGTAAGAATCTTCTATAGGGGTTCCAGAAATCTCTGCTTCTCTAAGAAAATCTTCTGCCAACTCGTCCTTAAACATATCCCAGAGACGTTTAGGGTTTTCTGGTGATCCGAGAATCAAGATTTGACAAAAGAGTGTCCTCATGACACTCGGCATCTTTGACAAAGCGGATTCCCGCAGCCCATCAATCCATTGCTGGTCATCATATGTAAGGCCTTTTGCTAGGCATGCTTGTTTATAAGTGGAATAGGCAGTCCCATTTACAAATTTAAGGTCTTCAAAACTTTTGGCATCTTTGGTATGGAAGAGGAGCATTCTTAAGTGATAAAAGTTCAGGTTGGGCCACCAAGTTCACAGTGTGGATCCTTCCAATCGTTTTTGAGCTTCGCTGTCGTACCACCCATTCACTTGTTTTGCCTAACCATTTGTACTTTTCTGGCATCTGCCAGTAGAAGTAGTAGATTACTTCATTCCCATTCTCTTCTTCTATGTGAAGTTTAGAGTTGTGTTTAAAGTACGCCTCTAAGGTGGACCCTTTCAGGCCAGTGTCCGCTACATCTTCTTGTGTCTGTTCAATGTTTCCCACACGGTACTGACCTTCTAGATGGATGTCCAAACGTTGCACCGAATGGCTTTTCCTTTGGATTTCATTTCCAGCCAGCCTCCAACATGCTTCAGGGGGCGAAATATAACGTGCCTCAACAAATGTTTCTGCTTCATTATACATTATTCGGGCCACATTTTCAACAATTTTTACATTTGCGCAGTCATGCCATTTATAAATGTATTTATAGAGGTACTTAACGGCTCTAACACTACCAACATACTCGATATTTATGTGGCACATGTATTTCTTCAGTAAATAGCCATTGTATGGAGCAACATGTCTATTGTCCCGTGTAACTTTTTGTCCATCACTGTTTTTGCGGTACACCGCATGGACGTGAGAAAATTCTGGGTTATTTGGATCCAGTTGTGGGTCATACCGTCTCTTGTAATTCGGTTTTTTGTTGTCAACAATTGACGTAAACTCTTGATGAGCTTTGGGGAATCCAAAGCGGTATTTAGCTGATCCACCCTTATTCTCCATACATGACGCAGACGGATTAAGTTCGCCACATGGATTGTGAATCATCCATTTGAGGACCAACTCCCTTAGAACTGGGTCATCATTAGGAATTTCTGCCGAAATGAAAGTGTCTACTTCCTCTGGAGACCGGAGTTTGTCTTCATTTGCCATGATGACAAGAAGATGTAGGTGGGGTAATCCTCGTTTTTGAAATTCTATAGTGTAAACAAAAGCAGAAGACTTCCCAAAAATCTGTTTCTTACTGATATCTTCAACTATGCTGTCAAATTTCAATTTGGCTACCCTAGCCACAATGTCAGGTCTTTCTTGGGCGAACTGTTGTAGTTTAGAACCATCAGAGAGCTCAATACATGCAGCTTCTTTTAATTCTGGCCATGTTGGACTGCACGTTATTGTGATAAAAAAGTCTGGAGAGCCAAACCTTCGGACAATTGCCATAGCGTCTTCAAAGTGTTCAGTGAAATATCTCGTTGATCCGGGAAAAGATGATGGTAAAATCAGTTTTTCAGCAACTGTAGCATTTTTCTTTTCAGCCAATTCATTTAGAAAATGTGTTACTCCTGCATACTGATCAGCTTGAAGTTTCTTTTGGTTATATTTGATCCACTGAATACGATCACGTTCAACACGGATGTATGTGTCCACGACGTACTGTTGAAACAGTCTACCACCAAAGTGGAGAGCATTAAATCCAATCGACCTTAGATCTAATCCCTCTAGCAATGGTTCAGGAGGAAGAGCCTTGGCTTGTTCTGGACGAAAGGCTAACCTGTATTGAGCCAACTCCATCCTCGTCATGTGTGCACGGCTTGCATAAGGCGTTTTAAGAGGAAGCCCTACAGTAAACCCCCGCATACAATAACAATAATGACAGATTTTTTTGCGTGATTAGAATATTTTTTTAAATTTTCTGTTTGAACCAAACTCATACTTTTCTACAGTACATTAAATGTAATTTCAAATATGAATTAACCACAAAAAGAATGGTTCAACTTTTTAAAATTATTTAGCCTACTGTGGCAATGCGGTTTAGGTATAGTTACTCATACTCACATTTTCATCTGATTGATCTGGTAACATGCGCACTCCATTTGTGACCTGAAATTTAAATATTTGTCTTTTATGCTTGTTGAAAGGTAATTTTAATTGTATCTAAGTGTAAGCTATTTTTCAAAGATCGTAAAATTGGTGACTGATTACTTACCTACTTTATTAGTTATTGGTATTATTAATTTATCACAAAATAATATTTATAAACTAAATAAATTAATACTTTTGAATAATTTTACATTAATAATACGGTTGAGATGATAATAAAGACTCACATTTTGTTCAGATTGAACTTCTAAGACACATACACCAGACCCCTCAGGTCCTTCAGGATCAGGTTCTTTTGCAGCCTGAAAAAAAAAAAAATGTTTGATCAAAGAAAGAAAATTTAAGCTCCTTTCTAAAGGTCGTAAAAAATGGTAACTAACCCTATAGCCTACCTCTTCCTCCACAATGCTACTTACTTACTTTCCGTGTCCGGAAATCAGACTTCGCTTTTCCAGAAATTAGCTACCGATATGGCTTTGTCATTCGCTTGTAAAAGGTAATCTAATGTGGTCTAGGCATGGACCTCCCACCTTTCCATCCGATTGCTCTGAGAGTGATCCATCCAGAACTCGTGTCCGTGATATGAAGCTCTTTTTGGACCGAAGTAAGACTACACTACACTAAGATATTTGTGTGTAGGACAATGCTCAAGACGGTCTCCCCACCATGTCACATTCAACTTACAGCCTGCTTCTCTATTGTTTGGGTGAAAAAGGCACAAACTTTCTGCTTGAAACACTCTTGCTATTTCAATAGAACAAATTCCTGAATGATATTAGATTTTACAAATTTATAATTGGATGCTAGCTCATACAAACCCATTCTTATCTACAGGTTTTGAAGTATTGAAAACTTACCTTAAACTCCTCATGAGCTTGCCTAACTACTAAAATTTATTAGAGAAACTGACATCATTATATTTATTTAACCATAATGACCAGTAAATTGGACAAAAGTTAAGAATTCAAATTTTTTAATTAAACAAATAAGTTTATTCCTTAGTTATCCTACCTTTATAGAATTGTTTTAATCCATCCTAAACAAAATATAACTATTTCAATGTAATGATGTTCACAAAATTGTAAATTGTCATCTAACTTTTTAATGTACCTCACACAATGAGCTATAGAGAAATATAAAATAAGCAACTCTATTCCAATTTCTGTATTCGTGGTGTAAGCTAGTAATGACATACCACACGGATTTAATGTATGTAATTAAATTAATAAAGGTATATATTTTATAACTTACCTGGTCTTCATCAGCTTTGTGACTTTTAAAGAAATTCCCCAACTTCTTCAAACTTCTATTTGGTGGTCGTCCTCTTTTCATGATTTCAGATTTTTTGTTGAGTACATTTCCATCTAGTAACGAATTTTTTGAGGCAAGATGTTTACAAACAAAACTCTATTGTTGATACGTTAATCACAAACATGTGACTTTTAACCACATGTGCATAATGCAAAATTTTTATTTCAGTATTAGTTTTGTAATTATTTATTTCAGTATTAGTTTTGCCATAATGCATAATGACATAATACAATCCAATCGGATTGAGTCGACTCTAGATTTTAAACAAAGTTGGCCACAATAAGAATAAAATATATTCGACTTTTTCGAGCTAGTGATATAGTAATACACTTTTTACCGTTCTAGAGTTGAGATATATAGTTACCAAAGTATGTGCTTGCATAAAGCTCATACAATAATTGACATAGGCCTACCACTTTTCCATAATTTCATACTACATAAATATTTTACCCTTTTCTTAGGATTTAAGCATGGATAGAACATGATAAAACATAGTCCCTTAGTAGATTCCCCATCCTTATGGAACAGCTGAAGCCAATTTTATTGTTAGTTCCGCCCGGTTTTCTGTAGATGTCGTGTTTGGTTTACAATTTGTTTCTTGTTATTTCAGTAATTTAAACCCTAGTTTAACCAAATAAAACTATCTAATCATAAACAAGAACTCGTCCATTAGCTATATAACCAAACAGTGAGACACAAATAATGAGAAACTAACCCTAAAATAATAGAAACAGATTGTAGACAAAAACGACATCTACAGAAAACGGGACAGAACTACCAATAAAATTGGCTTCAGCTGTTCCATAAGGATGGGGAATCTAACCGTAGCATTTGAGTATTTTAGATACATTAATCCAACTGCCGCAGACGCTTCCTACACTCCGCACTGCTAGCCTTTACTACAAACATTGTATCCAGTAATCTTCAGCATAATCTTTGCTTAATAGTAACTGATGTTTTTGCTTTTGTACTGTATTTTGTAATTTCTAGTATACTGTGGGTAGATGCCTTTATGAACACATGTTTTAACTTACAAGTCTTTTGTTTACTTTTTCCTTGTTATTTAATTCTTCCAACATGGTTACTTAGCAACCCATAAGACTAATGTTAAAAAAATGTGACTTTCAGTTTCATTTTTCTACGTAATTAGATTTTTGTTGGCAGTTGTAACTGTAGTAAACTCGTTTTTAGGCCAAAAATAATCTATTTACAACATTTGAAGAAAATCGTCGGAGCCGTTTTCGAGATCTTGGTGCAAGCAAGCAAGCAAGCAAGCAAGCATACATACATACATACAAGCAAACATTGCTCGTATTAGAGTATAGGATACACAAAACTTATAATATCTCTCTAACAACGTAATAGATAATAATTCACAGTTTTTGCCATGAACCGACCTTTCGCGTTTTCTTAATATTCCCTATTAAACAGAATGAAATGGCAAACATCTTAACGAGCTAAATTTTTTTCAAAGTATAGTGATTGCTTTTATACCTTTTAGCTGTATAGGGACAAATTCGTAACCATATAAGTAAAATAAAGATAGGTCTATTTAAATATCTTACTAATATGCATTCAGAGCAATACTTTCTTTTAAATACTCACTTTCACTATACGTATAATGAATATTTGTTTAGTTACCAAAGACTGATTCAATGATGAAATATTCATCATTGTATAGAAAACTTTCTTTGTTCTGTGTGTTACGTACTACATGCTAGATATCTTAAAACAATCTAGATACTCTTTGCGTCTCTTTTATAACATTGAGACAATCTTTAAAAAAACTGCATCAACTGCGATTTATGTTTAAATACGTAATCACAAGAGCAACACTTATTACCTGTTTTAATTCGAAGAGTTTCATAAATGCTGTAATTTTTTCCCATTAGTGATATACAATTAAGACATTTCTAGATGAATTGGTCTTTGGTGTAAGTGTGCCTAAGCTCAAGCGCGTCTATTAGAAGATCTAATTAAGAAAGAAACTAGGGCTGGCCCTATTGGTTTTTATTCATTGTCAGACTAGACTGACCTTTGAGTCGGAGTGGTTGTAAGGGAGCCTCTACAATGGTTGACAATGAAACTATAATTTATCAGCTAGTATGGATCTTCCGACCATGTTTTTAGGGGTAATTCAAAACAGTCTTGGGAAATTTTACCTAGTTTCCAGATCAGTTTTAGAACATGGCCCCATTACGAAGGTTCACCTACATCTTTTATACTATTTTCATGCGATGTTGATCTGTTACCAGACTTAACGAAGGGGTTAATTCCATTTATTTATCAAATGAACATGTCCTAAAAACAGAATGAATTTGTAGTAAAGAAGCATTTTATTTTGTTAAAATTGTATGTACTATTTTAGTACTTTATTGTAAAATATATTACTAAACGCTTAGTAATTAGCTTAATATTTACCGGCAAATAAATAATTCCATGTCTTAAAAAATCAATTGCTACTTAGATTATTTAATTTGATTAACTAGTCATACATATTTCATGTAACTAGTGTACCGACGGTAGTTAGTTTTAAATTGAAATAAACAAAACAAAATCAAATTATTTAACCATTGGCTAGATTAAGATTAAGAAAGAGTGTCCAGCAGTTTAAAAGTTGTAGTGTTTGTAGGGTTGGTAGTGGTGATTGATAACCCATTTCAAGTTTTGTCAGTTAAGTTCACTGGAAATATTGTCTACAAATATGTGGTTGCTGTAGAAATTGTAAGTAGATTTAATATTGTTTAAAAATAAGATTTTAGGAGATTTATTGTATATAGCCTTTGTAGAAATCATTTTTGGTAAAAGATGTAAAGTAAAGAATAGTTTTCAAATCAATTTTAATGCATTTTACAAGAAAAGAAAACAAGTAAAGTTTATACAGACCTGTCGAGTTTTGTTCGAAGAGAAGCACATTTTTCACAAGGAGTTGTAAGGATCTTAAATCCACTTTTAATTATTAGAATTTGTAGAGAATAGTTTTTATCTGTTTTGTGTGATGTTTTCAGACAGATATCAACCACTTCTTGTTCACCTTCTTATGATCGGTCCAGTAGCTTTTGTACCACTTCTAGTTGCTTTGCATGGTATCTGCTAGTGCCAGTTCTGACCATTAAACCAGTGTCTCTGTTTAAAGTAAGATCTTTCCAGTATTTTTATTATTTAGTACAAGTTTTGGAAGTAATAAGAGTATATTTGATTTTATTGGGAAAGTGTATTTTGTGATATTTGAGAACCATAATATATATATATTTTTGGCCTATTTAGTCTTTTAATTTATCTCACTTCTACTACCAGCATAAATTAGATTCATCCTAAATTGAAGTATACTACCTAATTGGCTATATGTTTGGGGTATACTAGTTTCCACAGTTTTATAAGATAAAAGG